ATCCTGTACTTTGCTTGGGAAATAGTTAATTTAAATTATAAGTTAAAATATTTAAGTTTGTACAGTTATATTTTAAGAATTTTATGATATAAAGAGTTTCCAATGTATGTTCCAGTTTGTTCCACAGATCATTTTAGCATAGCCTGCGTAACAGCCCCAAAGGGATTGGGGAGGGCTGAGCGGAGAATGGGAAAGAGAAAAAGGGAAGGGCCTGCAGAACAACCCCATAATTTTACAAAATTTACAGTGGAATACGGACGTAAATTCCCCATTGATCGAGAGGAACAAGCTGTCTTGAATCGAATGTCAAAGTGATAGATATCAGATCAAGTTTGCTTATTTACCAGCATGGCAGGCGATGAAGAAGGATTTCGTAATCAGTTAGAGGCTGCTTGTTTTAAGATTTAAAAGAAAACAGGAAGACAAATAATTTGAGACAGATATTTTCTTCAAGCTGAAAACTAACTCAAGCATGTTAAGGCCTAGATCAGAGTGGTAAATTTGGGAAAGTACATTTATTTCTGTTTTGAAGCCAAATTGTGATAAGAATTGTTGAAACTTTGCCCACTGATAGTAAATCACATTAGAAAGGCCCTTAATTCAGTTTTGTTTTATTCGACAAGTCACGTGACCAGTTGTCATCAATAAAAAGAGAAATAAGTATTTTTAAAACGTGGTTGCGTTACTAAAAAACTATTAAGCTAACGTAGCTTGAAAAACCTGTTTTGAATTCATGGTTTAAGAGATATTGCATGACGTGACTTAGTTTGCGTCACGTCACTTAGTTTAAGCCTCAGTATCTCATAAACCAAAGTAGCTGAACAGGTTTTCCAAACAGCACTCTGTTTGAGTCAGTAGTAGATGGATATGCGTGTTATTTTCCAGAGTGTGTAAAACTCGCATTTATTTTTCTATTTTTCACTATTATGACGTCATAGACCATGTGATTAGCATCAAAAAACAGGAAAATACTAATAACCACAAACCTAGTTAAATTTGTGAATTTAAAGTCGAACATACACCTACTTGCGAAAACGTTGTCATAAAAAATAGGACATTTGTATTTTAGTAAAAAGGAATAAATTAAAAAGACAAAAGAAGATCACTGAGGCTGAACGCTTTCTTTTGTTTTGTTTTAATTTATTCCTTTTTACTAAATTCGAATGTTCTATTTTCTATGACAACGTTTCTGCAAGTAGGTGTATATTAAAGAAGAAACGAGAAATTAACGTTCAAAACGATTCCAAGGTCAACAAAGGTCAGAACCCAGGCCTTAACACGCCTGAGAACGCTTCGAAGACAATTGCCGAATACAGTAAACTGAAACTCTTGACCTTGCGACCTCATAGTGACAGCGCTTCATGATTTATTTTGACAACTGTCAAGTTAGATTTACCAGGCTTTTGAATTATTAATTAGGGGGCATTTTGTAAAACTCTCCTGAAGGCCCTTCACATTCTCCGTTCAGCCCTCCCCAATCCCTTTAGGACAGCTACGCAGGCTTTTTTAGCACGAATAACTATTTACTACAGTGTAATACTCGAGTTGAAACAAAGCAAAACAAGGTCTAGATGCTTTTAGAGTGATCGCACTTAAACCGTGCAACTGTACAAAACCTAAGTAGTAGTAATTTGTGCTAAAAGTGGACCTGAAGCAAGACAGTATTGAATGCTCCATTTGTATCAATTCAATTTAATTTGCGTAGAGTACAAACATTAAAATGTGTGCAAAACTTTCCACTATTTACTACAAAATAGTGTTAATTTTAAAAACAATAGAATTAGCATAATTTAGCAGTATTTATTTGTTGCACAGTTTTTGTGTTTGTACTCAACCGCATGCACGATTTACTAAAAATACAACAAAATAGCACTATTTAGTTGGTACAGTTGAACGGTTTAAGTGTGATCACTAACTTCAGGGTTTGTGCAACGATTTCATAAAAAAAATCATGAAATTTCACTACTGGTAGGTTTTCTATAGTTTAAATTCCATGGTTTTTTAAGGATTTAAAGGAGTTGCCAGACTAGTAGAGTGAAGTCAATGAACCCGTGAAATACATATTTGACTATTACATGTTATTACTCTATAATTCCATTGTTTTCTTTTGTGTCTATTTGACTATTACAGTTTAATTATTAACTTTTATTTCACAGGATCAATGCCTTCACTCTAGTAGAAACCCTGTAATTAGCAATTAACATGATGATTGTAACAACTCTGCAATATAMAATTATATAATTCATTTCAAGGATTAATGAAAAAGCAGTTTATTGACAAAAAGTGTTCAAATTATTATAAAACAGTAAGATTTTATTGAATCAAGTTTTCTTTATACAGTTTGACAATATCCATTTGAATAGTAGTCTGTTTTTATATGAAATTTTTAGATAAAAATGATTTCATGTGGATTTGACTCTATTTACATTAAGAATTTACAGATAAAGATGATTCCATGAAAGACAAATAATGTATGAAAAATAACACTTATTATTATTGTTTTCTCATATTAAAAGCAAATGTTTCCAAGTCAGCCATGCTCCCACATTGAAGCAAGACAACCATTGAAAAAAGTTATAATAAAATAATCTTATCAAAATGGTTTAAAAGAAGATAACTCAATCCCTCACTCAATGGTCAACTTGCTCCGATGCAAAGGCAGKGGATTCCTCTCAAGATGGCGCAGGGACTGTGAAAGACTATTGCCAGTGGAAAAATTGAAAAACGAAATACACATCACAAAATTGTAAACAACATAAGACTAAAACAATACTTCTTACGTAATGAAAAAATAATAGAGTGAAGTGAAAAAACCTATGAAAGAGATATCTACCTATTCACTTCCTTAGTTAAAGTTTGTTTTATAGGTTTACTGACTTCACTCTACAGTAAGTACAAAAGTTGCTCAGTCCATTGGGCAGGTCATAATCTATACAAATTCTTTGTCAAATTTCATGCAAATTGAAACTTTGGAATTCAAATTCAGAATCTGAACATTGTACTTTCCCCCCAACTTTTTTTATAAAAAAATCTAAAAGTAAAGTTATACTATACTGGCAATGTGCCATAATTCTTTGTTTCATGTATGTCTCACATTAAAAAGTTATACTTTGAAATCCCATTTCCCCTTTAGCTTACTTAAGTATGTAAAATATATCATAAACAATAGCAGACTTTAGATACTTTGGTCCATGACCAGCAGATAAAACCAAAGAAAACCTATAGATTTCACAGGACCCCTAGTCGCATATGCACAAAAGAATTGTAGACGAAACTCTGGCGAAATAAAAGAATAATTAAGATCATCTATCATTTCCATAGAGTCTTGTCTGTATTTTTTGGTTACTCAACCAAAATATCCAAAGTCAACTATTATATTGTATAATATACTAGTTCAGTACTCTACTAGTGTTCTCCTTCGGAGCTACTATTTAACATATCTTGTACAGAAGCTAGATTGTAACAGTCTCTGCATACAGACATGTATTTATCTGCACCACCAATCACTTCAACCTAAAAAAAAACAGAATTACATCAAGATATATGACCTTGGTCATAATCACAAAATGGGGAAATTACTGTGTGAAATCTCACTGAAAAGGTGACAAACTTTCAGATTAATACTTCACTACTCTTTGTTTTTAAAATACATCCCTAACAGAGGCCATCTTGGAGGAACTTCAACAAAGAGTTTCGCATTACTATCTATTGTTCATCCCTCCAACATAACCGTAGGTCTTTTATCTTTTAAATAGTATGGGAACAGTTAAAAATGATCAATAAATTGTCAATCAGCTAAAGTGCATTAGCTTCAACCACCATTTTGTTTGAATATTTTGATTGGCAGCTGTCTATCTAATTGTGAATAAATTTGTCAGGGAAAACAATGTAACAATGAATGCAAAAGTCAGTAATATTTAATTTCATGATATTTCACATCATGTATCATGTTCTTTTGCCATCAATCAGTTACCTTCTGATCTGCCGAGAGTCTTTTGGTGAAAGCGGCATCTTTATAACAATTCATACACACAGCATTCAGTTTGACGACACTCTCAGCTAATGGAACTAAGTTAAGAATATTACCAAATGCCTGAATAAAAAAGTATTAGTTCATTAGAGATGATCTACTTATTGAATAGTTGTAAGTTCATTGCACTAAAGGGGCCAYGTACTAATACRAAAAAACAAACAATTTATAGGTGCTGAAAAGGGTTAAGCCATCTTATAGCTACTGTGTTATTATGTCTGGTAACACCTCAACAAAAGGAGRATTTGGCTKAAATMCAAAAAAATATTAGTTGTATTGCAAAGACTATACTTTTGGTARGGAATTTTCAATGCAACATCACTACATGAGATAGGATGTCATACTCTTTAGTTTTCTTTTCCYTGGAGGATTTGAAACAATAGAGTTTTGCTCTACTATCTAAATGCACAAAAAACAGGGTTAAAATTTTGTGATTAATACAATTAACTATACCTGTCTTTGAAAAGTTCCATCTAAAGCAGCAATTATCACAGTTTTGCCTTCACTGGCCATTTCTTCTGCAAAATCGACAACATCTGGGAACTGCAAACAAACAATSTCAAGATAAATATATACATTTGTGATAAGGTTGAAAATCATATACATTGCATGACATGCAGTATAGATGTGAGGGATCACGTTGTAATGAAATAAAGTCAGTTCTGTTTTGGCTGGCGTACTGGAAAGTATACTGGCTTGACCTTTGAAGTAAATGTGTTTTTGTGCTTTATTTTAACATGGTACTTCCAAAACGTCCTGAGAAACGATCAAGAAAGAGTTCACTTGCCCACATTTGGCATCGCGAGGAGGATACTTACAGGATTGTCAGGATGACAAAGTTTTCAAGATGAAAAAAGTCAAGTTTGTTGAGCAAACAAACATTTAACCATTTGTTACATCAAAGAATCAAGAACAAGAAGTGGATTGAAGTCCGRCGTCAATAACACACCGTTTACAGTCATTTTTAAAACTCACACTCATCTTCTTATTTTAATTGTGATTATTGTCAATTCTAAATTTCCATGATCAAATTTTTTTCTGATGATTACTTACAAACTGTCCTTCATCTATTCCTATGACTGTTGCTTGAGATGCTTGCTTCTTGATTGAATATAGTACTGAGCATGCAGTTGCAGCAAGAGTTTGTCTGAATGAAAAAAAAATACTACTCAGCACTTTATCTTGTTTGTTATATTTTGTTTTTCTTTTTCTTAAATAATTATTACTCATCCATCTGTCCATCATTTCAACAACTTAGACCATCAATGACTCAATAAATAAATAGCCAATAGCTCCAGTTTAAACTAACCAAGATTCTGAAGCTATTGTCTATTCATTTGAACTCTCGAGAATCCTAGGAAAGACATTCTGTAGCATTTTTTGTTGAGACCAACTCTTTATAATGTTTTTAATAATTGTTGTTTGTGTCCCAATAGCTTTCCTCCCTCTAGTTTACACTTCTAGAGGACTATCACTGACCATGATTGTCATAGCAGGGTCTGTGTGTAGTTGTGTGAAAAGCGAGGGGCTGGGATTTTTCAGAAAAATGAAGGGATTAAAAGTGGGCATAAGAAAATASAGTGAAAAGTGCCTTTAAAAAGAATTACAAATTATAAACTAAATAGACATACCTATCGTGAGTTGCAATTCCTCCTAAGTCATATCTGTTGTCTTTTTCATATTTTACRACCAAACACCTGTGGTTAGCTATTTGGTATCGCTTGATTCTTCTTAAAAGCTCAGTTCTTTGGGAATAATATAAAGAAAAGTATCTTATTGAATTAATACATAAATGAAATGATTAGAAATGGGGTGTACATTTGTTTAATCAGTGTTTTGATCACCTTGCAAATACTGAAGTACTCTTTTTATAAGTTTGTCAGGCATATTAAAGCTTAAGCTTAATCAACTCTGGATAAGTTTAGGTGTGTTGAGGAAACTGATTAAGAAATTATTTATAAAAAAAAGCACTTACATGTAATCATTGTTTTAATTATAAAAACAGTTTTTGAGCTGTGTTTTTGCTATTCCTGATAGTAAGTTTTCTTAGAATAAAAGTTTCGTTCTAGTGAAATCGATTCAAGTTGATTTTTGGCGCCGAAATTTGAATAGGTCGATCGACAACAAAGACAAACATCGGTCACGCGCTCATAAACTCAAAAGCTATCTCTTCCATMTAAATCCAAACTACCCTTAAGTAATATTTGATGTATATATAGGCAAATCGATGTGATTTTAATTCATGAAAATGAATTTATTGTACTGTTTCAGCAAGTTCACCTAAACTAAGCTAACTTAACATTTCATGTGGGGCAGCAYGTTTCGTAGATAAAATCCTTTCTACGAGATTATAACTTACGTTTTTCCAGAGAACATTGGTCCAAATATAACCTAAAATGAAATACAAAGCAATGAATCCCACTGAAAATGCGAATTTCTTGTTATCAGTTCGAACGCGGGCTTTCCATTTACAAAGTCGAGCTTGTAAAACAACAACTAAAAAATGCGAATTTTACCTGAATTTGGCCGGGGCATTCACTAATACTATGATGTCTGAAGTAGTTAGTAAGACCTGGTACAGTAACTAGAGCCATTTTGGTAATTTTGTGAAGAATTTGATGAGTGCCAAGTGCCGTTGTAGAAGAGTTCGTTCGAAGGARTCCAGCGCCAAATGCTTGAATTTCGCGCCGAAATAAGTTACAACCCATAATGCACAGCAGGGGCTTATATTACCAAACAATACCGCAATGTATCATAGGAAAATCTGTCAAACAAAATGTAAATAAACATRTTTTTTTCATCTTTTGTAGCTTTGGGAATAAAATCAAAACTCTTAAAATTAATAAAATTACCTGAATAGGTCGAAATTTTGCAATTATTGGACCAGWTATTCTGAATTGTCCGCAAAATACTTGAAAATACAGCACTCCAGCTTGTTAGCAGATGTATTTGACAAYTRAAAGTTAAGATGCTTGCTGCAAACCGAAAAATTCTTAATTTTTCTTGCCAAGAATTTTCGAATACTCATTCCAATCGAATGTTCGCGGGCCAACGTGTTTGATACCCACGATCCATTGCGCTATAACCTCGCTCCAGTCTCTTSACGGWGCGCTGCCTTAGCAACGCAGTCAAAGCAAAACATGGCGGACGAGGAGAGTAAAGTAAGTAACGGACCTTTTACCTTACAAAATTGTCTTTATTTGAAGTGTTTTTGTASATAAATTCAATATTTTAAGAAAATCATATTGATTTTATTCGATCTTTGGTTAAACATTTCCTATTGACTGAAAAATTAGCCAGATACATTTTGAAATTGATTTAGGCAAATCTTGAAAGCAAACTTACCTTTAAACTAAAAAAACTTGCGTTTTTTATTTGTAGGTCATTATAATGTAKAAATATATCGAAAAGATCCAGATCCAAAGCTTTGGATCTGGATCATTTTGACCTATATAGTACATTTTGATTGAAAAAATTGTACAAAGTTTATGAGTACTCTAATARTGAAAATTAAGCTTAAGTCTGAAATAACGGGCCATCTTATACAGTTGTGTGGGTCTATAAACTATAGCATCAATCCATATGGTGACTCTGCAAGTTTTCTATTTATAGCATTTAGATAGGACTGGCAGTACAAAACCTAATACTGTATGATATCATAAAACATAAATTATAGCTAATAGTTTTCATATTACCCAAGCATCGGTTAAAATATTCCTATAATCAAATCATAGGAAGTTCCAAGCAATACAAATGAAGARACAGCAGATGGTCCAACAGAGCCAAACGAAACTGCTGATAACATTCCCGAGGAAGCTAGTGGTGAAACTGAAGCTCAGCCTTCTGTGGAAGATACTGGAGAAGGTCCCACAATTGAAGTAACAGACACAAGTGACAATGCCAACACAGGTAGTTAATATTTACATTGATCAGTATTTGCGGTTGTCATATGTTAGGGCAACCTGACCACAGCAAAGGAGCTGTAGATTTGACAATGACAATAAGATAGAGTAATTGTAGGAGTTTTCAAAATGACTTTTATTTTGCCACTATGCACTCTGTATTTATGTCCACTTTGAGTCTTTCTTACTTTGATTTTTCAATATATTTACAGGATTACATAATTACATGATCTATTACACATGCAAGAGAAAATGTTTTAGACTTGTACTCATACTTGTACTTGTCAAATGTTGGCTAATAATATTTTATTACAACTACATTTATTTATCTTAATTTTTTGAAAAAATTGCAGAGGAGCCTGTTGCATCAAGTGAAGAACAAAAAGAAGAAGAAAAAGTAATTGAAACGGAAGATGAAAATGCTCCGATCCCTGAAGTGAGTGGTAGTCTCATACTGAGTTGCTAATATCCTCTTGACTTATTGACACATCAGATTGATATCAACAGAACAATTCAAGTCAATTAACCCCTAAAATAATGCATCTTATAGCATCTTAATTTTTAATTTTAGAATGAGGGTGTTCCAGAGGAAGACAGCACCCCAGCAGTAGAGGTAGCAGAGCACATGTCAAGGGAGGGGACACCTACAGATGAAGTAGTCACTAGTGGTCCAACTGARGGACCTGATGCAAGCGGCACCCCTCCACCAGCAACACAATCACCCGAACCTGAAGATAGTCCGAGATATGATGAACAGCTTCCTTACGATGGTAAATGCAAGTTTAAATAGAGTTCTCAGAGCTAGGTAGTCATGAGGTTGGATTGGAGCAAGGGAGTGGTTGAGCTTTCCATAATCAGTACAAAGTGTGAATAAATTAGTTGTCATTTGTTTGAAAAAGGTATTTACCACAGGAAGCCCACACACTGTCTGACTTTAATGCAAAGGCAATGATCAATCTTTCAATAATGGTGATGGGAGGTACAAAATGAATGAATTATAAGGATGGAAGGGAATGAAAAAAATGAATGAGCATATATTAGATATGAATAATGTAATTATAACAAATAAAATGATATTGATTCATAGATAATCAAATGTATGAAGATGAGGAAGAATACTATGAAGATAGCGAACCTGAAGAACCACTTTACAACAGACAAGAACTCATGGACAAATATCATGTAAGTATACTTGCTGTAATACTTAATTTTCATAGAGCGGATTTCGTATGAGTGGGACACCGTTACCACACGGTTACCGCACAGTTACCGGACCTGGCCTTCACAATTTTGGTGAAACAATGGGGCACTAGAATTTGGTTACAGTGCGATTACGGTCACAGTACAGTACCGTCCATTTCCCACTCATACGAAATCCGCTCTATGGATTTTTTTGGGTACCACAGTTTAATGGCTGTGTTGWAATTTGTAAATGAATCTTACTGATGATTCTGCTGCTACAACTGATGATGATGATTAGAATAATGGGCAGTTTGAATGGTTGACATTTTTACTGATATCAAATATTTGTCTTTCAGCAAGCACTAGAAGAAAGATCATCATTGCAATCACTGAATGCTCAACTTCAGCATAAATTAGCAGAGTACTTCAAGAAAAAGAAGGTATGCACCCTTTTAATAAGTCCCGAGGTATTACGTTCTCCGCACTTGACGTCAAATTTATTCTTTTGAATTCCTTTTGTATTGCAAAAATTTCAAAAGAATAAATTTGACGTCAAGTGCAGAGAAAAAACAATACCTCGGGACTTATTAAAAGGGTGTATAGTTAGTAACACTTAACCAATAACATGCAGTTGCAAATATTTATTCTCTTGGTAACAGGAAATATGTTTAACTTATAATTTATGAATGAGATATAGTTCATGAATTAAATATTAATTAAATTGCATTGTTTATTATTTTGTATTGATGTATGTTTTTACCTTAAATTGTTATGTCAGAGTGATGAAAGGCAGCAAGAAATAGAAAAAAGTGTCACGGACCAGGAACAGCGTTACTTAAAATACATGTGTAAGAATAATATTTATCTTAGTTTATTGTTTACTAAATATTAATTTGCAACATGGTATATTAATTGTTAGTATTAGTTTAATTGTAAATATTTAAACGAGGTTAATTTTATGGCAAATGATTATAATTGTGATTGACTGGCTGAGAATTGAGATAAATGCCCTTGCTGCACCATCCCTGTAGCCTGCGATACATCTGGGTTTTTTTTACAAAATGGTTATTTTGTAAAAAAACAGATGTAACGCAGGCTGCATTCCTGACACGGACCCCAATAGAAAGAAGGGATAGGCCAACCTGAGCAATGATGGTACAGCACAAGTTGGAAATAATGGAACCTTGGTTGTGAATTATTTAAAGTGATTCAGTAATGTCATCAGCAAGGATGATCTGGATGAGTATGGTGATAATGATGACAGTCATGATTACAACATTTAATTTAAAACTTATTTGCTGTTATTTTTTGATCAATGGTGTAGCAAATCTAGAGGAACTACAAAACGAGGAACGTAAAGAAAAAGACAATTACAAAATGCAAATTGAGGATCTCAAAGCAAAATGTCATGAAAAAGAACAAGCAGTGGAAGACTCTAGGTAAAATATTGAAAACCTTTTTCCTTAAAAAAATGAATATAAACGGATCACTCTGTGCTGTATAATACGTTATAAATTAATGAACGTGAACTTGAGGATCATTGGGGGGACACTTTTAAAATTATTTCTAATCAAATCTTAATTTCTACAGTGCCCAATTTTCCAAGTTTAAACTGGAAATTGCAAAACAGGCAATAAACAGCAGATCAGGAAAGCCAATCTCTCCAAAGGTATAAAAAAAAACAATTCACTACAGAATTATCATCATCATCATGTCTCCCCCATTTAAGTCTCTAAACCCTTGGGGTGCTCCCGTTGTTGCAGCTAGCATCCAACAGGCRCTTGAAATCGGCCTTCGCCATCATCATCCTACGTACTTGGTGCACGTCCACACCAAGCACCTTTCCGATCCTTGTCCATGTGGTCCCCGGGCATCTCACATCAAAAAGCACTTGTTTCTGCAAGGCACTGTTCTTCAATCTGCATATTATGTGCCCTATATATTTGAGATGCTGTTCTAGACAAAAACCACGTATGGGTAGTGTCTTTGTGATATCACGGAGTCTGGCATTTGAAATCTTAATTAGAACTTGTTTGCACTATTTAATCTTTCTGACAGTGGTAATAATTGTAAAACTTTATAATATAATATAAATGGTGAACAAGTACATGTATACCCAGTAAGTTATAATTAAATATGATGTTAGTAAGCATGATTCTGCTATGCTTACTTGATGCGCGACTGCCCTTACTGAACTAACTATTTAAAATCCCCAGGACATTGAGCAGTACCAARCTTTAGAAGCTAAGAAAGAGCTGGAAGTCACTGGGGTAAGACAATCATGTGATTCATATGAATGGAAAATTTGGTAAAATTTATTTTAGCCTATTATGAATATTCATCCATTTGTTYGTCGTCCATTTATAAATGCCAGCCATTCACTTATTCAAAACTCCATTCTTTCATCCATTTATTTAGTGCCATTTTATTTACATTAATCTAGTTTTGTTAATGATTCTCTTTAGTTATTCATGTCTATTCATTTTATTGATCTATTCGATTTAAATTATCTTTCTGTCATTTCTTCATTCATTCAGACTGACTTATGCATATTGTTTGTCTATTAAAATTATTAGTCATTTGCTTACTTTTAAGTTTCCAATCTGTGTTTACTTACTTTTCAATGTCTTACCGTTTCAGGTTAGGCTGGAAAACATAAAGTTAAGAAACAGACTTAAGAAGAGAGAAATGCAGCTGAAAGCAAAGGTGAGCATGGATGACATTATGTCTACTTGTAGCATTGTTGTGGTATGTTTTGTTTTTGAAACAAGCTACATGTCATAATTACAATGCCGGTGTTATTGTTACCATGTATAGGCTAGTCATTTAGTTTTTGCTTTGACAATCAAGTTGACGCCCATAATGATATCGACTTTGTTGACAACCAGCCATGTTAACCCTGTTAATCTTAAAATTGTTGTCATGGTTACTATGAGTATATAGTGTTGTCATGGCAGCAAGGCTTATCTACATTGAACTCATAGTTTTACAAGTGATCTTAAGTTTTTTTTCCTACATTGTACAGGAAGAACTTGCCGAGGGTCTTCACTTGATTGACTTTGAACAACTGAAGATTGAAAATCAGACATATAATGAAAAGATCGAAGAAAGAAATGAGGTAATGTTGTTAGACTGCTATTTCTGCAAAATCCATTGAGTATTGAATACTGTTTCCAAGACTGACACAATTGTCYTTTAATCAAAAGGAATTGCTAAAGCTAAGAAAGAAGATCACAACTACAGTTCAAGTTCTGACTCATCTAAAAGAGAAACTACAGTTTGTACAAGCAGAAAATGGAGAACAAAGATACAAATTACGTTCTGTTGAGTCATTGGCAGCTCAGGTAACGATTTGATCATGTAGAACYAGGACTTACATGATTATAATGTAATTATAACATCCTCTATTTTATTTTGAAGAAAAGGGATATACTTACTCGAACAAAACAAGTCCGAGATGCTTTGAGAATAGAAAATGTAAAACTTCGTCAGAAATGTGGCCTGCTTGGTAATGAGCCGCTTYTGAGAGACTACGAGTTACGGAAGGATCAGGTATGTCACAGAGCTAGAAGCTAGACTCAGATTAGATAACATCCTTATTTGAGGTCTCAAGTACATCAAATTTAGCAATTAGAGTTTAAAGAATCATAACCACCCGCCGTACCTTGCGAACCGAAGCTCCATTTTAGGTGGACACGAAAATGGCGGATTTGTAGGATTTCTTCAAGTGAGCACAAATCGTCTTCCGTCCTTTCAGTTTGGACAGAAATACCTTTAACTAAGTACCTCACAGGTTCTATCAATCTATAATTTATTGTATGCTTGACGCATTTAAACGTATGTAAACAATAATGCGAGCTCGCAAGGTACGACGGGTGGTTATGATTCTTTAAAATACAATGAAACAAAGTTTACTACACCATGAACAGTTTGAACCTGYGCAAACTACATGTAATTTTAAATACCATTTTGCAGAGTGACGACCTTAGCTCGAAAATAGAAAAACTCAAAATGGAGCATGCCGAACTCACCATGAACTGCGCTGGAGTAAAACAGAAAATAGATGAAGCACAACAAGAACAATAAAACAACATTGTCTCAGAATAAGAAGATTGTAAATACTGTTTGTAATTGAAAATGAGGAGAAATTGAAATAATAAAAAGTACAATTTAATAAAAGGATGTAAACTTTTTAATTATATTCGAAATAAAATTTGAGTTTTCCCTTTTTACAATCCCTGAAACCATGAATATCTAATTATGTGATGTTTGAAAATACTAATAATAAAAGTAATAGCATTCTGAATACTTATTGAAATGTTGCAGAACCTCCAAGAAAATGTTCAAAAAAATAATTGTATAACCTGATTACATTCATTATACATTGTTTTGAGTCAGTTTACAGTAGTTATGTAGTTAGTAGTTATGTGGCGCTTTTACAGGGGCGTGCACAGGGGGGTTACAGGGAATTCAAACAATCTTTAAGACTTTATTTTCCAAATCAATGGCCAGGGGTAAAAACAATTTCCAAACAGTTTTTTTTCCGTTGTCCAATTTCCAAACAGTTTTTTTCCGTTGTGAATCCAAAACAACACCATGCACTTATGTAGAAAAAAGAGGTGGAACCTCCGCATGAAACCTCTAGATGCATGTCCCTGTATTAACTTGAGAAATTAACACACAAATTCATTCATTAAGATTAAAAATAATGCTTACAAGAAAATAACTTACTAAGATTAAAAAAATAGTTTTACAATAAAATGATGCTGCTAACTATTATATTAATAATGATAGCCTTGAGAGTTCATTCTGAGACAGGCTAGTTGGATTTTAATCCCTAAAATTTTAGAGTCCTTTTTGAGTCAGTTTAACTCGAGTATGAAGCAGCGGCAGCAGCCTGTGCGACCACTTCTTCCACCTGACTCACCAACTGTTGCATCTGTAACATCTGAATGGCCTCGCTTGCTTCTTGTATGTCCGCCATTTCTTCTGCTTCGGTCTTTTCACTCAGTACAGTCTCGGTAACAATGATTGGTGTTCCTTCCTGTGGAATTGATTCCAAGGTAGCYGYCTGGATTGTCTTTGGTTCTGCTTGCTTGGGTGTAGMTGGAAGTTCTGMTACAATTGTACTTGCTTTTTCTGTAGTTGTTTCTGTTTGTGGCTGGGACTGTCCTTGCCTCAAGTTGCTGTCATCATTTGGATGAAGGGAAGTCTCTACAATGACAAACTCTGGGCTACCTGTGGTTTGCTGAGCTGTGGAAACCTTGGATCTAGGTCCTCTAGTTTCATGTCGGCGTGCATGCTGAGCAAGAGTGCTATGCTGTGAGAAGAGCATTCCACAKATATCACACTTGTAGGGCTTCTCTCCAGTGTGGGTCCTCATGTGGGTYTTSAGGTTGTAACCCTTGGCAAAAGCACGRTCGCACTCMGTGCACTTGAATGGCTTCTCTCCTGTGTGYGTYCTCATGTGAGCTGTCAATCCACCTGACTGAGAGAATGCTTTGTCGCAATGGTTGCATTTGAAAGGTTTTTCTCCTGTGTGAGCTCGTTTGTGCTTRGCAAGACTGCTGTACTCKGTGAAGCGCTTATCACACGTGTCACATTTGTATGGCTTCTCTCCTGTGTGAATCCGAATGTGACCTTTGAGGTTGGCAAACGAGTTGAAGGTTTTCCCACAATGATCACACGCATGGGTCTTCTTGGGATTGTGCAAGCGCAGATGATAATTRAAGTGACATCGWAGAGTGAAAGAATCTTCGCACTGATCACATTTATAAGGCTGTGCTCCTGTGTTTCTTTGAGTATGCCTGTCAAGTTGGTACTGGAAGGCAAATGGCAGCTTGCAGCCATCACAGTGAAGCCTCTTGTTTACATTGTGTGTTGTCAAGTGTTTTCTTAACTTCAKCTCAGCACTGAATGCGTCACCACAAACTTCGCACTTTAAGGCATCATCATCAYCRYCGTTGTCATCATCRGTTAATTTTTCATCATCTGGCTTGGGCTTCATAGCTTTACTTCTCTTTGGTCGAGAGGACTTTGCTTCAGATTCTGGARGGGTCTCCACAGGTTCAATCTCYAGTTTTCTTTTATTTGAATGTGTCTTAGCATGGGTGTCTACATCTTTCTGTGAAAAGAATGAGTCATTGCAAAAAGTGCATTTGAATTTAGGCTTCATCTTTTCCTCTGAATCTTTTTGGATTGCCTTGCCAGTATTTTCTGTGTTTCCATTCTCTTTATCAGCTGATGCTTGCTCAGATGTTATTTTGCTTTTGTCATGAGACATTTCTTCGGCATTTTTKGCATCTGCATTGGACTTTTTCTGGGAGGTGCGATAGGTTTTCATAATTTTCTTTTCTGGTGAGGCTTGGGACTCCTTTAAAGTAGTTTGACTTGATGCTGGGGTATTTGTTCCTGTCTCTGGAGTTGTGGCTGATGCATTTTGTGTTTCTAATTTGTTYGTGCCATCTTTAGCATYTTCMGTCTTATCCTAGTTGTAAGGATAAAATAATGTTTAATAAAAAACTTAACTAAAGCAACAACTTTTATTGCMTTTCTGCATGAAGGATAATCATGAATGGTCTTCATCAAGACAGCTTATTACCTTTTCCTTCTGRGTATTATTTACTGGKYTACTTTCTTTAGGAGCTGCTGTCACTGGAGCTGGTGTTTGACTTATTTTATCATCTGGAGTTGGGTTATTTGCGACAAGAGACTGTAGACCTTCCAGGTTGATGTTGACATTAGATCCATCCTGGACAACTGCATTAGCCTGACTTTCCTTAAAAATAACATCAAACATTGGACAAGTAGAGCAAAAGGATGTTTAAAATCAATGGTTATACTGCATTGTAACAACCACAACGATGTTTCAAATATAATCTATATCGGCTAATAATTGATTAATCTTTATGTCATTCTCTGAACCTTGACCAATAATCCTTCATATCACACATACCCTCAGCCAACAATTCTTCATATCATACTCAACCTTGACCAATAATCCTTCATATCACACATACCCTCAGCCAACCATTCTTCATATCATACTCAGCCTCAAACAATAATTCTTCATATCATAACAGATACTGATGTAATGTACAACAATGTTTTTTACCTGTATTTGCTGGATCTGTTCTGGTGTAAGCCCACCTGAAGCCATCACTTCAGGAGAAAGGATCAATACAATGTTACCCAAAGTGTACAAAGCTGCTTGGCTGGGTATTTGACCCGACTGCATCACATCAAGTTGTTCTTGAGTGTGTTGAGCCTGAATAATACAGAAATGAACAGTTAACTGTAAGTATAAAAATAGCAACATCAAGTGGCAAAAATGGCAGTTAATTTTTGCAGGAATTTGCATTGCTTCATMATTGTAAATTCATATGATAATTAATTTAAATCCTAATTCTGTCCATGCCATGTCACCAAGAAGCTCATGGTGACTGAAAATACATTCTAGACTGTTTCTAATATGGACTTACTTGGCCTTGACTGAGAGGGTTTTCTGGAATAGTTGGTGCACTCTCATCTTCCATAATGACAGCAAGGCCAGGTTCAAAGTTCTCTTGGTTGCCAGCTTCTGCCGTCTTTTCTCCAACAGCTGTACTTTCACTGTTTGAATTCTGCATTTCTGTCAAAACTGTTGCTATCTGATTTTCTGTATCTTGTGGAGTTATATCGACTCCAAGGTTCACACTGTTATCTGGCATTGTTTTAGGTTCAACATTAGCTTCTACAGGGTTTTCCATTGTTACATCGTTCTCTACACTTTTATTTTCAGTTGGTATGTTTTCTAAAACTTCTGGTTGTTGGTTTGTCTCAGTGATGTCAGAAGCACCAATGTTTTCATTTGCTAATGCAGCTGAAACTATGTCTGACATCTAAAAATATGGAAAATCATTATTATAATATTATATAGCATATTATATCTCTGTTCTATTGGGGTTTATTCAGTGTCTTTTGCAATACTGGTGGTCATGCAGACATCTAAAAACAGGAAAATTATTTTCTTGTTTTACTTGCTATCTGTGACGTGTATATTAATAACATCAAATATGAATGGTAAAACAAAACATTTGGACCTCTTGCAGCCACTCTTAGGAATTCCTACGTAATCTTTGACCAATGTATAGAGGTTGCATAAAATAATATTAACCCTGCCATTTGAATACGTCAGGCACTTTGGTTCCCTTTTAATTGAAAAACCAAACATTGCTATTGAAAAGAACAAGAGTGAATTTTTGTAAATTTACAAAGCTTGAGAAGAAATTCACAATGATAAAGCTCCTTATATCCACCCAATTTTACAAAGAAATGATGAGTATGGGCAGCGACAATAAATKTTTGGTGTCTTAAAGTWCTCAAATTTTCAAAGGATAATGCTCTCAAGCTTGGACATTTTGTCAAAACCTCACTTTAAAGGGACACTGTCAATGGATGACATGCGCAGTAACAGTCTCACCTCTAACGGACTTTGAAAKTATWACCTTCGAGGTAAATCATTTTGTGGTGCTTTTGACACACTTTGGAATATTCTAGATCTGTTTACGTTTACGAGCTGATTTATGTCGCGCCAACTTGGAGTCATAAACTTGAAAACACTAGCCTAGTGTTTTCAAGTTTACTCGCGCATGCGTGCCATTGACAGTGTCCCTTTAACTGGTATAATCTGGGTGGGAACAGATGTTAATAGCCTTTGCATTGCWTGTGACAGGAGAGGTTCACTGGACATTAATAACCTCGTGTCCCTGCAAAATTTTTGCTTTTTATTGAAATTCACCAACACTTCCCTGTAAACAGTATATGTAATGGTAAAATTTAGTAATTATGTGAAARCTCCTTTAATTGCARCAGTGCCATCTTGAAAGGTCTGGYAGCTCTCCATTTGCAGTCTCCATTTGAGTTTGTAGAGTGCAAGTCACATAAGCATGAAACAATTCTTAACTATGTAGTGCTAAATAAGATTTAGTTATCAACTAAGAATTGAGAACAATTCTACAAAGGAATTTTTAAATTTTTAAATTTTTAAAAATAATTGGCATTGTGTTTATGCTTTGTTGAATTCTTAGTTAGTTGATAACTAAATCTTATTTAGCAATACATATTAAGAATTGTTTCATGCTTATGTGACGTGCACTATACAAGAGACCTATTAACCTATGATAATTGTATCAGGTACAAAAAAGATCTTTCAAGATGGCGCCCGGATATTCTCGTGACTAAGCTTATTTTCTTCTGGAACATTTTAGTTAGAAATGCATCTACAGCTATAAAAATATAGTTGGATTCGATTATTGTAAGTCAGTGTCTAAATGGTATTATATTTGCCCAAGACTGCYATCGAACAAGTTGCCCGCCAAAATTGTTCAATCCCGAAACGAAGAAGAAACATCGAAGGATCAGCTCTAAAATCCACTCGAATCTCAACCATCGCTTGCCATCTTACAAAATATACCGATCAAAATCATCCTCTGATCGATATTACATTACTTTTCGTTCGAATTAAGGCTGCAAAACTAAGCTATGTCGAAATTTCACAAAACAAAATGGTTTCTTGCAGCCACAGGAACCCCGATGAAAACCGCCATAAAAGCTCCAAAAAAATGGGTTGCCTGTGGTCAATGAAATCCATTACAAATTGTCAATGGACTYCCTTCAAAATGCGGCAAAAAATGCGAAAGTAAAGTATACTTATAGAGATTTATACTTACTTTTAAACGAGATTTAGGTACTTTTTCTTTCTTTCTCGCTTGGAAAGCACGTGATCGTCAACTCGATCTCTTTGTAAACAAGCTACAAAATCGTGCAAAAATCTACTTGAATCGGGCTTGGATGTGTGATCTGAAAGCTCTAGGTTTATGTGAAGTATTCTGTATGTTTTCTCTTAGTTTTGGTGGCCGGTAAATGGATAACTCCAGTTTTTACGAAAGTCAAACTATGAAGAAGTTCAGCATAAATRCTAGAACCCAAGCCCCTGGTCTGAAACTTCTTCGCAAGCAAGCGCCGCGGAGCGCCGAACGGTTTAAAAGCGCTTCAGTACAGTGTCATTTTTTGGACAATTCATTTTGGGTTATCTTYCACTTTATTTCTTTGATATTCCTTTTTTTCTCTTTCCCTTTTTTCTTTTTCTTTTTTTTTTTACAAAAAGAGTTTTGYGGAGTTTTGTTTTAAAAAAATATTGTTTAGCTAATATTTATATCTAGAAATTTTTTCAATATTTCACTTGGATCTAAGACAAGGTAACCTCGTTAAAAATCCTCGAAAATCTTTCGAAATCTTGAAAACACTGACGAGTCGAGAGGGAATGGGCACGAGCAAGTAGCGTCTGTGATCGATAAATGTGGCTTGGGCTTTGCAGACTACCGTTGGGTGCTCTTTCATTTCGTTTTGCAGCTCTAAAAGCATTCATAACACAGGGAAATAGCCAATAATAACGTAAAAATATAAGACCATTTCTTCGGATTASTAATAAAATCGAAACGCTTTTGGRAGTCAGCAAGAGTCGAGGTATTTTTGTCCGCGTTGGCTTGAAATACATTCAAACGAAGAGCTCTTCACGCGAAAAAAAGATAAACCTTCCCGCCCAAGGTAAGGCRATGTTCCTTTGAAAAGTTTTTGTTTTGATCTATTCATCAACAACATAAATATCTAGCAAGTTTGTTGATTTCGATGCACAGGTATCCCATGTATTTTCAAGCATTTTGAAAYGTATGGATTTCATCGGGAACCCTGTGTGAGACAACGCTTTCTTGTAGATTTCTTTGTCGCTTTTGTCGAAGATATCGGCTTCTTTTTCTTACTTTAGGCATAWCTTGTTGTAGYTAAGAATAATTTCCACTAAAAGTAGTAGTTTGGTTGYGAATATTGCACTGGATGGTGAAAGATTGACGAAGATTCAACAGGATTATAGATTCGTTGTGTTTCTCTCTCGATCGCCATTGCTGATCAGGGTTGTCGTTTTTGGCGGGCTTATTTTATTGCTCGTTTTTGTCATCAGATTTTAATTACATTTTATTCTGAGCGTATGGTTATTCAATAGTAAACATGTTTTGATTGTCATTGAAATTTCTTTTTCGATTTTACATTATATTTTTTGGCAAGAAATTTGTTTGTTTGTTTTTTTTGGAAAAAATCTCCGCAAAAAATCGTCCAAGTCATTTTTTGCCACTTGATTTAGTGTTAGCTAAAAAATGGAAATGCTTAGTTTTTCTAATCCATGGAAGTATTTTCAGAAAGTTAAGTTACCATATGACCTTCCCCTCCCTCCCTCCCTGGTTATAGAACCTCAGTTCACTGACAAGGGTCCATTTTCTAAAACAATGTTTTTTCCAATTTTTTGTAGTATATTATAAGTGTGTAATAATTATCTTGATTCCTCAATCACGTTTCCTAGACTACACTTCCCCCAAAGATTCTTAGTAATGTGACAGTTTGTTTTTTGTTTATTTTGAATAGAAATGCTTGTCTTTGATTTGTCATTAAGCAATACAAGCTTTGTGCCTTCAGTTGTCTAAATATATTTCTTGCTTCGTTAATCAAAGCTCAGCAGTTTATAGTAGCCTGAAATATCTGTCAAAATATTTCTGTGTAGCACAAAATTGTTATTAGGGTGCTTTCCATTTAGGCAGAACTGACCRGCCAGTCCACTCTATTTAGAGGTATATAATGCTTTTTGTCAACATTTCTCAGTCATTTCGAGGTTTTCTGTAGAATAATGGATAGAATCTGAAAATTTGAATTCCTAACTAAATGGGAATGATATATAATGACATTTTCTCTGGGTCTGGCCAGCCAGTTCTGACAAATGGAAAGCGCACTTAGTCATCCAGGGTGATACTGGTCATACTGGAATAATTCCTTTTTTGGACWAATCATCACCAGTATTGCAAAGACACTGGAATAAACCCTCAATTGAATAGATGTAATATGCTAACGATTTTCCATATTTTTAGATGTCAGACATAGTTTCTGCTGCATTAGCAAATGAAAACATTGGTCCTTCCGACGTCACTGAGACAAACCAACAACCAGAAGTTTTAGAAAACATACCAACTGAAAATAAAGGTGTAGAGAAAGATGCTGCAGAAGCTGAAAGTAACATTTCACCTAAAACAGTGCCAGACAACACTGACAACCAAACAGACACAAATCCACAAGATGCAGAAAATCAAATTGCAGCAGTTTTGACAGAAATGCAGAATTCAAACAGTGAAAGTACAGCTGTGGTAGAAAAGACAGAAGAAAGCAATCAAAATAACTTTGAACCCAGTATTGCTGTCATTATGCAAGATGAGAGTACACCAAGTGTTCAGGAAAATCCTCCCAATCAAGGCCAAGTAAGTTCTTGTTATTAGAGAGTTTAAGCATCACGTTAAYGGCAAACRGMTAAYGGCAGAGCTGAACCAATGAACTAAGAATTTCGTGCCTGACCTTGTGCTCTTGGTAGTCATTTGAAAGAGCGACTTTTCACGATTATGGCAAACTCAAAATAAACCACTTTCGCGTTGAAACTGCAATGTTAAACTCCAAAAAWGCAGAKYACTTGATCTTTTCTGCCGTTTGCCGTTTGCCATGAACGTCATGCTAAACCTCTCTATTGCCAGTAGCAGTACATGCACAACAACTGTTATTGATCTTTAAATATATTAATAAGATTTTTATAGTTTAATWAATTGTGTCTGTGCTATCCAGGTTCAACTTACTCAAGATCAACTTGATGTGATGCAGTCGGGTCAAATACCCAGTCAAGCTTCTYTGTACACTTTGGGTAACATTGTGCTGATCCTTTCTCCTGAAGTGATGGCTTCAGGYGGRCTTACACAAGAACAGATCCAGCAAATACAGGTAAAATATATACTAAAATTGCAGAGAAATATACATCAGACTTATATATTCTCTGTTTTTTGATTATAAACAATCTTAGGAACAGTGCAGTAAGTGATTCTYAGCGTATAAGATGGTTTTTAGAATTTTCAGGAAGAATTTTAATTCTAAACTTTCGATATATATATATATAGCGCATTAAAAGGTATATGACATGATTGTAATAATTTGTAGAACTTTGTGTTGAATATTCTTGCAAAAAATTAAAATATGATATGATATATACAAATGACTTCTTGCAAATGTTTCTACAACTGAATATTGTTAATGGGATAAATTTACTGTTTAATCCCAAAAAGGTCTTTTCGACAACCATTACAAGTGTTATTTTARAAGTCACATTGTTTAATTAATACTATTTGGCTAGGATGTAGCAGTAGGAATACTTAAAAAAATCTTGTTTGTTTTATATAAAGGAAAGTCAAGCTAATGCTATTGCTCAAGATGGTTCCAGCATCAATATCAACCTAGGTGGACTCCAGTCAGCCCTTGCATCAAATGCTGCCACAGTTGTTAACCCTGTCCAGCCACCAGCTCCAGCAACAACAGCTCCTAAGGAAAGTAACCCACCTACCAAGAAACCAGAGGAGGGGAAAGAAAAGGTRAATATAAATTATATTCTTCTCCATTCATTTGAAATGTTTCATTTATATTCATGTTATTTCATAATTCATAATTCTTATATTTATATTATCATTATTATTACAATCATAATCTGTATTATCGCCAATGTCACTTTTCTCACATTCAGATTATTTTGATATTAAAATTAACCACATATCACTTTTACAACTAATGCTTATTATCCAATTTTGTTTTTAGGAAAAGAAAGATGATCAAAAATCTCCAAAAGATATTGCAAAAGACAAACAGGCTTTGCCCAAGACAACAGCAACATCTACAACAACTACACCTTCAAATACTACTAAAGATRCAACAGCTCCAATGGAAAAGAAAGGTGATTCCGAAACAGCAACTACACCTGCTGAAAAGCCAGACAAAGACAAGACTAATGGCGAGAAAGAAACCTCCACTGAAAAAGGCAAGAAATCCTCTGACCAAGACAAAACTGAAAAAGAGAACAAAGGTAAGAAAGATGAGAAGACAAATAAACCCAGTCCAGAAGATGCAGCCAAAAGACCTTTCAAATGTGTAAAYTGTGGAGATTCATACGAGAAGAAAGAGCAACTAGACGCTCATGTGAAGACACACAACAGAAGGAAAAGGGGCAGGCAGCCAATGAGAGTTTCACCAGAACCTGAGTCCAAGCCTACAAGATCCAAGAGAAGCAAGCAAGGAAAAACGACTGAAGGAGATGGAGAGAAAACTGAGGATGATCCTCTTCAGTGTGAAGTTTGTGGMGACACATTCAGTGCTGAACTGAAGCTAAGGAAACATTTGACAACACACAATGTGAACAAGAGGCTTCACTGTGATGGCTGCAAGGTACCATTTGCCTTCCAGTACCAACTTGACAGGCACATTCGCAGGAATACTGGAGACCAGCCTTACAAGTGTGATCAGTGYGAAGATTCATTCACTCTACGATGTCACTTTAATTATCATCTGCGCTTGCACAATCCCAAGAAGACCCATGCGTGTGATCATTGTGGGAAAACCTTCAACTCGTTTGCCAACCTCAAAGGTCACATTCGGATTCACACAGGAGAGAAGCCATACAAATGTGACATGTGCGAGAAGTGCTTCACAGAGTACAGCAGTCTTGCCAAGCACAAACGAGCTCATACTGGAGAAAAGCCTTTCAAGTGCACCCATTGTGATAAGGCCTTCTCACAATCTGGTGGCCTCAAAGTGCATTTGAGAACGCACACAGGAGAGAGGCCGTTCAAGTGCACTGAGTGCGAYCGTGCTTTTGCCAAGGGKTACAACCTGAAGACCCACATGAGGACCCACACKGGAGAGAAGCCTTACAAGTGTGAAATTTGCAGCAAGCCCTTCTCCCAACACAGCACTCTTGTAACTCATGTTCGTCGACATGAAGGCAAGACTTTAAAGACAAAGATGTCTACTGCACAGCAAACCACAGGTAACCCAGAGATGGATATTGTAGAGTCACACCCTGTTACCACCGACACCTCGGTCATCACTGAACAACAAGTGCAACCCCAAGCAGCTGCCCCCCAAGTAACCACTGAAGMWCAAGCAGAACCTCAAGCAGCTCTCCAAACAGAACCCCAAGCAATTCCTCAGCCAATAGAAGAAGAACCAAAGACAATCCAGGCRGCTRCCTTGGAATCAATTCCACAGGAAGGAACACCAATCATTGTTACCGAGACTGTACTGAGTGAAAAGACCGAAGCAGAAGAAATGGCGGACATACAAGAAGCAAGTCAGGCTATTCAGATGTTACAGATGCAACAGTTGGTGAATCAAGTGGAAGAGGTGGTYGCACAGGCTGCTGCCGCTGCTTCATAYTCAAGTTAAACTGACTCAMAAAGGACTCTAAAATTTTAGGGATTATCAACTTACTAGTTCAGTCAGTGGCATATATACAGATTTATTTTGTATAGCTGTTATATTCTTGTCATATATTATGCATAACCTTCATAAAGTCATTATGTAAACACCTGTCATTCCAAAATAATAGAGTGGTTTTATGTACTTATTGAGTGAGTGGAAAAATATTTTGCTCAGATTTTGCCATACAGATTGAGACTARAGAAATTTTGCCTATTTGACAGTAATATTTTATTCTATATGACTGTATGTACATTTGAGGATTTGTGCTTGGTTTATGCACATTGTGTTCTAGCTTGAGTACAAAAAATACCATATTTGGCTGCATGAACAAAAGATGTTTGTACTAAATCTAGACCACAATGAMATRCTATTTCAGAAAMGGCCTATGTTCTCTTGCTTCAAATGCAAAATGTACAATTACTGTAACTGGTGATTTTATTTTTTAATAAATATATATTATAGCGAACATTAAAAAAATACAGTGTTTAAGATATCTTTAAACAGGTTCAAAAATATTTACAAGTTGGACCTATCTGTGCTAATATCTTTATCAAATTATCTCACAATGCCACATAAATATTTTAAATGTGTTTTATATTGCCTGCCCATCTTGCTGTTCAGGGGCCAGTCAGTCTAAGTAGTTGTCCTGATGTGGTTTCTATGCTGGAATATGAAAAAAGCAAAATCAGATATT